CAACGCCGAGGAGAAGTTCAAGGAGATCGCGGAGGCTTACGACGTCCTGAGCGACCCCAAGAAACGAGCCGTTTACGACCAGTATGGGGAGGAAGGTAAGGGGGTGAGCGCTGCCCGCGTGGAGGCAGGGGCGTGGGGTCAAAATCGGTTTTAATAGGTGAGGGAGCATTTTCACACAGAGATGTCACCGGGGTTCATGCCTGCCCCCGAAACGGGGCTAATAGCCGCAAAACTGGGGAGGGCGAAGGCTCTGCTGATGCCAGAAATCGCCTCTCGACCTGCTCCCCTCCCGGGGCTGCTCCGCTTTTCCAACCCACCACCCTGCTTCCCGGGATGGCCGGGCTCTCCCTGCCCTCCGCCCCAAACCCCCGGCAGCGGCCTGAGATGATGGAAGTGGAAGGAGCTCACCTCCTGGGACATACCTGGGGTAATTTGTTAGCAACCCTTTAATTGACCTAAATATCCCAGCAGTGAAGTACTGCTTTTGCCCACGTTTCCCCCCCGCGTTTGGGCGCTGGTCCTGCTGTCCTCCCCAGTACGGGCCAACCTACAGGATTCAAAGCTTTTCCCAATTTAAGTAATAGGTCCTTGTTTTGAAACCAAGCGGCTGCTGTTGTCTGGTGGTTGGCACGAAGGAGGAGGAGGAGGAGAGCCGCTCCACCGCAGGCGGCCTTATTAGTCGAAGATGGAAGAGCACAACCCCATTCGAGGAGAGTGCCGAATAGCATCTGCATTAATCAGCCCAGGGCTTGGGTGCTTAAAAGAGCAGGAGGTCTGGCAGGAGCAGGCTGCGGGGGGGAAGAGGCAACCCCTCTCGTGGGGCCAGCGGGCAGGTGCGTTCCCTAACGAGCCACCGGCAGAATTAACCACTGGTGGGTTAATTCTCGACCCATTAGTTATGTCAGGGCTGTGATGGATGCACCAGGCACAGTGATTTGCCGCCTTGTAAAATGAGAAGTGGCCGTCTCAAGTGGGAAACCTGCCTTTCCCCAGAGGCACCCGAAATCGGACCCGGCTCGGGCTGGCGTCACGGGATTGAAGGTGAAACCTCCTGGCTGTACAGTCTGTTTGGGAATGGGGGCTCGCCGGGGATTTGGGAAATCACCCCCTTGTTGCAGAGGGACGGGGAGTGCTGGCAAAGCCGAACTCTGTCAGACCAGTCATGCTGCGTGCTCCCCCACACTTTTGTGTCCCATCGGATGCCTTTTTTTTGGAGCAGCATGTCTTAGGGATTGACATTTCAAGGGGCTCTCACACACTGCGGTGAGCAAAGTGAAGTGAAAGCCCCCCCAGCTCACTTCATCCACCAGAGGAGACCCCCCAGATTTGCCCACTCTGTGCTGGTCCCCCTTCTGTCTCTGCTGGGGGGGGGGCAGTGGGTTGTCAGGAGGGACCTGTCAGAAATAGCCCTTCACTGTGATTGACGTGCCCTGAAAATAGTCCTTGGCTTAACCCTTCCTGGCCCCTCCTGGTCAAAAATAACCTTGCAGAGCGTGTGTGTCCTCTCTTGGGGGGCCACATCGTGTGCCTCAGCTGCTCGGGACTCTGGGGGGATTGTAGTGACCGAAGGCTCAGCCCAGGACCTGGCAAGGATGTTTCCCATGGGAAGGGTTGCCAAAAGGTCTAACCCTTGAGCTTACCTGGCATTATGTAGAGTGTGTATACGGGGAAACGTGTGTCGACCTGGGGTTCTGCTGACCTCCACCTGCTCTGCCACCCAGAGTCATGTTCGCTCGCTGAGCTCAAAGCCTGTTCTCACCTGCAGGACATGATGCTCCTGGACCATCGGTGGAGCCCAAGAGATAGGGCTACGTGGGCAGAAGGGAGCCTGCCCGTAGTTAAAAATGGAGAAGGGCTGGTTGGGAAATGTTCAAAATGAAAAGGCCATGATCAGGTGGAGAGGACCAAAGAAGTACTTCAGCAGGGACAGCAGGGACAAAACCTGAATGGATTTTCAGCCTGCTGGCTCTAGGGGCAGGGCTGTGTGTTATGGGGTGCGGTGGTGCCTTCCTTGTCCACGCTCTCTGTAGGTGGCTGGGATGGAGGGGGTGACCTGTACTCCCAGGAGATGCTGGAAAGTCTGCCTGGAGCCAGTAGAGACCACACTCCTGCCTGGAAAGTGTGGTCCCAGCACAGCATCCACTGGTGGGGAGCGTTGATGTCTCATCTTCCCCCTTTTCTTCCAGGTCTCAAAACTGGAGGTGGCTCCTCAGGTGGCTCAGGGAACACTTTCCACTACACCTTCCACGGAGACCCCCATGCCACCTTCGCATCCTTCTTTGGAGGCTCCAACCCTTTTGACATCTTCTTTGCTAGCAGCCGCTCCCGGATGTTCAATGGCTTTGACCAGGAAGACATGGATATCGATGACGATGACGACCCTTTCAGTGCCTTCGGTCGGTTTGGCTTCAATGGCATTAACGGAGTTCACCGGCGGCACCAAGAGTCCCTGCACACACGGAGGAAGGTCCAAGACCCACCTGTCATCCATGAGCTCAAGGTGTCCCTGGAAGAGATCTACCACGGTTCCACCAAGAGGATGAAGATCACCCGCAGAAGGCTCAATGCTGATGGCCGGACCATGTGGACTGAGGACAAGATCCTAAACATTGTCATTAAACGGGGTTGGAAGGAGGGAACCAAAATCACGTTCCCCAAAGAAGGGGATGCCACCCCAGACAACATCCCTGCCGACATCGTCTTCATCCTCAAGGACAAGCCTCACTCGCACTTCAAGAGGGATGGGACGAATGTGGTCTACACGGCAAACATCAGTCTTAAAGAGGTGGGTATGGGTGGGAAATCCCACGGGGTGGGAGGTGGCACTGGGTCATGGTGCTTGGGGCCAAGACGGGAGTCAGTCCTTGTCCTGCGCCAATGAGGAAGGACCAGGTAGGTTGTGAGAGACACGAGCAAAGACCTCTGCAGAGGGGAGCTGCAGAGGCCAACTCGTGCTTAGTTTTGGAGGTGCTCCTCCTCCGTGCTGGGAGTAGGACACAGGTGCTGTGGTCCCTACTGAATGCGCCTTGCGTCTTGAGCCAATACAGGTGGTATTTACCCATTTTCTCCCTTCCCCATATGTCTTGTCCTTCTATTTTAGCATAGGGTATTCACATGTGGAAGAGAGCCCAGATCCTCCGTAGGAACGAGGGAAAACCCAAGTTGGCTGGCATGAGTCCGGTCCCTGCTTGTTCTCGTAGCTGAGCCTGCTGTGGCTTAGTTAGTGTCCAGGATAGCGCGGGGAGCCTCTATCCACCGACAGAGAGCAGGGTCACTCAGAGAAAGGTGGTACCTCTCACTCCCAGAGCAACGCTTTAGCCAAAACCAGCTCTTTTCCTTGGTTCCGGCTTCCCTAGATAAAGAACCAAACTAATGAAATATTCACGCAGTGAGCAAAACCCAACACATCCCGGCTGCCAACCCTGGAGGTCACGGCAGGGCTGGATGCATCAGAGCCAGCGAGCTGCGCGAAGGTGGGAGAGGAAGGGGAGATTACCCCAGGACAAGATGTGCCGTTCGCCGCTGCTGCTGTATAACTACCTTTTAATAAATCCCTGCTGGCAGCTGCACTTAACATTGACGTTTTTGGCAGATGCCATTTGCTGTTCCTTTCAGACTGTAGACGCTGTCTGTCTTCTTAATGAGCTGATTTTTTTCTTCTCCTTCTGAAGACAGATTTATGTTCCCAAATGCGTTTAACAGAAATCAGCTGAATGGGCCAGACCTGAGGTGGGGAAACGTGAGCTCGTTAGTGCACCAGCGAGTCGGGAGAGCGTTGCGATGGCTCTGCATCCCGGCTGGGGCTGCGACCGGCTGTACTGGGGACAAGGGGGGGCCACGTGTGTCGGGCAGGGCGGGGTGGTCCGGGAGCAAACTCAGCTCGAGTTAACCTGCGGAATCAGGAGCTGAATTTCCTTCGCGGTGCAAAGTGCAGAGGTTTATTCCTGCAGTGGCTGGCTTCCCTGGCCACTCCAGAAATACTCAGGAGAGGCCACCTTATTTATGGAGCCACGCGTGCCATATCTCAGATCTTTCCTTCTGTGCGGTCCCCTATCTGTAAGTTTAACCCCAAGCTGGCTATGCTGATGTCCCGGCAACGTTGGTCTGAGTTCGTGCGCTGCTCAGGCTGGAGGGACTCTTGCCTGGAGTTGCCCTTCGAGCAGCAAGTGGAGAAACCTGCTCCGGCCCCATGTGCTGTTGTACCCGGAGTGCTGGTGCTGGGCGCTCGTGAGCAAGGCGTGCGTGCTGGCATTTGGTCTGCACGATGCGGTCACAAAGTGGAAAATTGCTGGTCCGGGCAAATTCCTTGTCTCTCTGAGCTGGATAGTCTGGTCTCTGTCCTCCCCCGCTGCAAATTCAACATGCTGAGCATCCTGAGGGAGCTGCTGGCCTGGCTGCCATCGCCAGCGTGCTGCTTGACAGGGCAGGGAGACGCTTTGCTCCTTTTATCTTCCATGAGAAGAAGTACCTTAAGTACTCTGGAGCACAGGCAGATGCTGGGAGATCCCTGACTCCATGTGCCACCACCTCAGTATGTGACAGAGCGCCATCGTGTTGCAACCTCTCCATCACCTGAGCCTACGGCCGTAGACTCAGGCACTCTCCTTGCACGCTCCCTCCCTGTGAGTCTTCCCTTTTTTTAGCTTGAGCTTTAGTCTTTCCCGCTGCCGAGAGAGCGGCACGGCATGATGCCAGCAGGCAGAGCTGGCAGGCGGTGGGTGCTGTGACCAGACAGGTCGTGCTGGAGACCCCCTCACCGACACTCTGCT